AAGTGTATAAAGCATTTTCCACATTAAATGTTGCAATTCGTACTCAATTTCCAAATTTGATTCTTAAACACAATTTATCAAATATATTATAAAAATATAAAATGTAATTAGGAATTTACTTCATATGTGAAGTGTAAACAATCTTTTTTTTTTACTGTAAATCCCTATAAAGTACGCTAGCCTGGTGTGTCCGTCTATGGCAGTCAGTTTATCAAAGTTCATCTAAGGATTTATTTGTACTTGAGTGTTCAAAACAAGACCGTGAACTTGATTGTTTGACATTCCTCAGTCAAACCATGGAAGGTATGTTAGTACCTTCCATGGTCAAACAAACACTGTTGGTGTATCACAGCGATTGGTTTACGATAATATCACTACTCAGGAGCGTGATCGGAATTTCAGTGTGCTGTTGTAATGCCGTCATTACTCAAAGTAAACACATTTTCCTTACCATTAGCCTCTAAATTCTTACACAGAACTCCAGATATAAATTGTTTGTGTTTTTTCAGGTTGTCGGCAGCATGTCGAAATCCAGTTTCGAAGATCTGCAAATCACTCTCGCTAGGATTTACCTTTTCGTAAAATCCAAACGCCACAAAAAGTTTCAACTTCATTCCAGTTGGCTCATCGACCATTGTGATGGCATAGTACTTTTCTTGTTTTTAAAATCTGAATTGAAAAAAATAGGAGACCTTACTGAAATGTAAATATAACGTTCTCAAACATGTATTTGTAAAAACTCAATGACCAGAGACCGAACAGGTTGGTGGTTGTGTCCCTCAAATAACTACCAGTCTGTGGCTGTACGTAATTTTCCAATCAGGTGTAATAAGTGGCTACGGTCATACGAGAATTACTAGAAGATACATCGTCAGAATCGCACGGATTCGCGACGGTTGGGGCGATGACCAAATACACGCGAATCTTTGCTGGCGAAGATGTAGTAGAATACATTAAAAATAACTAACTAACACGGTCATGGTCACGGTCCTCGTGCTACCAATACACGGAAACTCGTCACAATAACACCAACACTCTGAAAAACATTCGAAATGTTTTTTACCTACAATTTATCGGAAAGCGCTTCTGTGTTGAACAAAATAAAACAAGTAGACCCTTTATAGTTAAAAAAAAAATGAAAAATTTAATCTGTTAATCCCGGGAATGCAACTCAAAGAATAATTTAGTTTCGATAATCCTGGCTCCGTAACAGTGGTACATTTTTTTTTCAAAACGCACCCCTAGCATGTTTTCCATCGGTCCATCCCTAACATTTAAAACTACCAGCCTGATGTGTTGCATCCAACGCATATTAGGATGCAAGTGGCACAAATAAATTCCGCATCAAAAAATGTTTATTATTCTACAAATAACTTGTTGCACTGTTATTGTATTTCAAAGTGTGCAAATGATTCATTTATCATCTTGATAAAATGAAAAGTTAAATATTTTCCATTCTGTCATCTCTCAATTTTGTTTATCGTTCATGTCAACATATCAAATCCCGTACTCAATTAATCTGAAGGTAAATAACGGGAATTCTCAAATGGCGTTTCTTCTTTGTAGAGTCTTTAGAGTGCGGCTTGACATGGGGATCTTGGCCCCGTGACTAACACTTACTTCAAGAACTGTGATTGAATCCATTCACAAATATACGCTGCATACGGCATGTCTCTTTAATGCTTGTCGATAATGGGGTCAACCATTTTAAATCGTGGGGGATAGCTGGAAGACTATGACCGGTGCATTATTTTTCACATTATCTTATCTGTACATTTTTTTTTTCATGAATGAGCCAACATATTTTCCCCACATACACTTTGCATGCAATTGTCTCTATGTATCTGCCTTGCAATTTGTTTTCAAATAAATCTTCCGGCCATCCCCATAGCTTCAAATGGTTGACCCTTCAATGTTTGCTCACAAAGGTTGTATTGTGGATTCAACAACGTGTACCACCCACCTCTGGTATTTACATGAAGTATATGTCTATTCATAAATATTACAAAGCACATCAACGTAACACATTTAACAACTTACATCCATTTTCAACGCCAATTATATTTTAGTAAATTATCCACGTACAAACAGACAAACACCATTGTCCGAGATAATGCATTAGATACATATATAGATATTCATTAGAAATGTACATAACGCGAACATGTTGAGTGCTAGGTCATATAAATCACAACAACTGTAAACAATATATATATATATAAACAAATATTGTTAACAGTCAGAAACCATGTAAAGTTTGCATATATCTGTGACCGGGGACGTGAGTCCGTATAACATACGTGTATTCACGGAATGGGAGAACATTACCTGTATGTATTAGCGATGGGATCCGATTGGTTCACTGCGCCGTGCAAGTCCATTGATGATAACCCGATGATTATGGCTTTGGTCGAAACTGACCTTTGATTTTAACTCGCAATTGAACGGGATCGTGTATGGGTCTGTCAATCAACTGATTGTATTTTCAGCATCGGCCTGCTAGTGTCGTTCTGGCTGTGTAAATACTCTCGCTCGCAGGCTTTTAGAGTATTATTTTTCAATATGAACTCGTAGTGACCTCCGTACTGGACTGTGAACTTCGAGAAAGTAGGTCATCACTTGTTGCATACCATCATTTAAAGGGCGGCAGTCGTCGTGCCGCGTCCTGTTCGATATGGGACTCATAGCGACGTATACAACACGTGTAAAATACATTGTTTATTTACATGAATTTCGAACACGCACTGCGCGACGACCACCGCGCTATAAACTCAGGTTTAATCACAATGGTTTTAACTGATTCAATTCAAAATTTCTTCCTAGCTTTCGAAAACATAACAGAATCACGAAATCAAATTTATAATAAGTTTATAAACTGTCAATGACTTGTATCCAATCAGCCAGTCAGTGAGAGCACTGTGCCCAATGACGTTATTTAAAAAAACTTCTTTAGTAGTTTAAATTGTTAAATTAATAAAAAAAAAAGGAATGGGTTTGTTGTGCCGTTAGTACAAGACTCCAACACATACATTTGTTGATGCTTTTCATTAGTTATTCGTTCTACTTCCTTATTTCATTTAGACCAGTTTACTTTTCTCTGTTATTTTGTTGTACTATATGCTGTGATTGACCATGTCGCGTGAGTTTCGCCCTCCGCGGTGCTCCAAACCTCAGACTAGTCATTGAATACAACTAGTCTGAGTCCAAACCACGGTTCTTTTTTAGTAACAGTGTCCAAACCAAACACAGTGAAGTCTGTCTGAATGTCGTTCGGCATGCTGTGATTTGCTTGTACTAGTATTTTATGTTACTATTTACATAATCTGTAATCGATATACCCCAATGTCCATCGATGCTTATCATTGCATGAAATCCTCGGTTACATATATATATATAACATGGATTTTAACATCCCTTCCCTTATTGGGAAATGACAATTCGTGAAATGGTTGTCATCTCAGACTGAGGTATTTCAGCATAAATACACGTAGTACGTTCAAGACACAGATTACAAATCGGTCGTAACGACGAATTTCCATATGCAGACGTATTTATAGCGACCAGGCATTGAAATGATTTTCCAAAATCTTTGTTCATGCCGTAAACGTCTTCCACAACATATCACCCACCTATAAAACGGCGAATAGATTCGGATTCATTATCACGGGGCAGGCGTATACGTGTTGACAAGACATTTCTCGTCAGAACACATTGTCCACAATTGTCGCTCTTTGCGAACTTTGAATTGGATACATTATTTTTGTGATGTTTATTTCGCATTCATGCGGTGTACAAGGTTCCATGGCTGCGTCGATAATGGTCATCCACTCCACAAATATTACAGTGTTATTATATTCTCTCTTGAAGATGAATAATTTACACATACTGAAGACATTACGTATGAATGTCACACATGTAATAAACGGTAAAAAATCTTTATCTATTATTCTTTTTCTAGAACCAGGAATGCATAATACAAATGGCAATTAACAAGTTAGGTCATTTTATAATGATAATTCTCACATTGCATATGTTTATTGTCTTTACATTTGATCTATAGATTCGAACTAAAACTGAAGGATAATAGTTGGTAAGTAATAATATCGTCTACTAGGATCTAGAAGTCAATGGCAGTATTTCGTGATAATTTCCTTCCATATAAAAAACTAATATAAATACATGGCAGTATGCTTATCGAATCAAACACATTCATCAAATTTCAAATCCATAAAAATGCATTTAGTAATACATTGACAGTGTAATTTCAGTTCTGTCCAAATAAATATGGACGTCCGTAAATTTTGGCCATTTTTTTATTATGGTCACCATAAAGTTATGACCAAAAATAACAAATTAAAAACATCAAGAGTTTTAATGTAAATATTATTATTATTTATTTGGACAGTTGAGGATGATTAAAATTGGAAAAAAAATAGGACAAGTTTGTAATACATGTACTATCCAATGAAGTGCGCCCTCTATAGTTGCAATCACATTCTGAGAATATAATGAATGCAATAGGCACCAGAAAAGATACACGTTCTAAAAAAATAAAAGGTAAACAATATTTAAATTACTTCCTTTGTCAACGAAAAACTAACTTTTCTGCTATATGCACTGAGCTTATGAATTTATATGAGTCACGGTGCAGTAATCATCTCAACGCACATGTTCTATACAGATCGAAAGCAACATAAAATGCATTTATTATTTGTCCACGTGTCTAATTCATAAAGCAGTTACTAGAAATGTACATGTATACTAGTAAGCTAGTTGGAGTCGTACACATGAGTGATATATTTTATTTTCATGCAGTATCCACATTGGCATTAAACTCTCTAATATACATTGTTATAAGCCTTCACTCAATATGGTTTCACTCAGGCTTTTGAGTACGGTAGTGTTGTTGATATTGAATTTTCACACACACATAGTCCTCTGTGATTTAAATTACTAGGAGAGCATTGAATGCTCATACCTGAATGTTGAAGTTGGTGGTTATATTTATATAAATAATGAAAGTTATTCAAAGCAGTGATTCATGATAAATGCTGCTCTTCTCATACAAGAGTTTATTTTGATAATCTTCATTTCGTTTTACAAGACTGCTAACACTGCTCTTCTAATTTGAAAGTTCAATTGATGTTTGTTCACTTTGGTGTTTGTGCATAAATAATTACTTCACTTGTTTTTCTCACAATATATAAAGTTTAAAGAAGATCCATGAGATTTAAAGTTTGCATATGTAAAAGAATGCACCATTTTCAGAGCAGGGGTGATCACACAATACATTCACCTTCTCCGTAAACTCTCTGTTCACACTCAGACATTGGTGCAAGAACGAACACCGCATCGTTGAGGACATAGTATGGATCATGCAGGTCCCCCTCACATAGATATGGAAGACGAGTAAATTTCAAAACAGTAAACCCAGCCGATGTAAACACGTCCTCAATCAGGCTCTGCACTTGTTCCTCCCAGCTCCTTCCTTTCACAGGCAAATACTCAGAAGGTTTGTTATCATTGGTTCCTGCAATGAACAAAGTATGTAGTTATCAGATTGTGAATAAATGAATGTGCAATGTCAGAGTCATGATTGCTGGTATACCGGTAATTAGAAAATGAACCATCATCAAGTACACCACAAAATATACTACAGAAATATAAAATTATGTATCCGTTTTACGTGCAATGTCATGGACCTACCTTGGCCACATAATGGCTACTGATACCAGTATATCATGGTAATAACAATTCTAAACACTAAACTATTCAACGGCAACGGTTTTATAACTTGCTTTTATTTGATGTTCATGCATTATTTTTGTACCTGTAGCGTTTACCAAGTTCTGATGGTGATGAAACAATACATTTACCGGTAAGTAGGAACAAAAATTAATCAAATTAATCAAAGAAAGCTTTTTTGACCAAAGAATTGTCTTTGTCTGAGATGTAAGTTATGTATATTAATAAGGTCACATGATCATGTATAGTCATTTGATAAGTTAGTCATACAGTCTTGTCAAATACCTCTATTATAGCATTAGTTACATGTCCTTATCTGCAACAGTGCTTAAGATATTAGACTTATGCATATTAATGAGGTCACATAAACCCATTTATACAAGGTGTTAATTAAGGGACAATGTCAAAAGATCGATGTTGGATAAAAAACTTATTTGCTTTAAATTGGGGGTGGGGGGTTTTGACCTCAAAAAGTTTCCATCCTACAAAAACGATTTTATTATTTAATGAAGTCAAAAAAATTTGTAGTTCTTTTTTTTCTATCCAATCATGGACAGAAATAACAGAAAAACAAAAAAAACATCCAAGACGAGAAAATGGTTTGGTCCGAGTGTAAATATGTGCGTCAAATGAGGTGCATTTGTAAAGCCTTTTTACACCCACCCGACAACCAACTGCTATGTCATACTACTGTCTGATTATCAATTTGTATTTAATGGTGAATTTAGTCTGATGCCATAATCAATATTTATCAATTAAGTTTCAGTGGGGGGGGGGGGGTGGGGGTGTGGTTGAAAAAAACTAAATGAATTAAGTTTTTTATTCGACATCGGTATTTTGACGTCGTCCCTAATATACATGGAGTTCTACCCTTAAGTGATCAGATTTGGGGATTATCCGAAAGCACCTATATGCCAAGTTTCATTGACATTTGATGAGTGGTCCTTAAGATATCAGTAGAACACCTATATATTAGGTAATTTATGCAAATTAGGTAATTAGTAAGCACATAATTTAACCCTGAACTGAACTTAACCCAGAGCACCTCTGTACCAAGTTTTATTGAAATCTGATAAGAAGTTGAGTTATAGGTGGAAAAGCCAAAAACAGGGATAATTGGCTTATTAATACACAAATTAGGTGATTAATATTCAAAGATTGCAATACAAAACTGTGCATTATCGCAGATGATTTATGTATCAGGTTTCATTGTTTCATTGTTAAATAGTTTGAGAAAAGGGTGAAAAAGCATAAAAATGGCTAATTAATTTGCAAATGAAGAAATTAATATGCACAGATTAGAGCATCTATGCTGTGCACTGAATCACTAAAATATTACTTATTTTGACTGTAGAAACACATCTGTAATTTACGAAATTGAATTCACTTCTAATAGAGTAAATACAGTACCATGTAATTAAATAGTAAACTGACATTAATAAATTCTTGTGGATTTTAACAAATTTTAATTAATTCCGTCAGCAAACTAATCCAATCAATGTAGTTACCATGGAAAGAAAACTTACCTGATTCAACATAAGGCTTAACAGGTATCACTATGGCAACTATAGCCCTTCCTGTGACAGGAACTAATGATTTTTTAATATCGTGTAGTAGTGTTAGTGGTTTATCACACCGATCCAAGAGATTTAAACAGCTTATAACATCATAGTGCCGTTTTCCGTCAGCCCATTCATCAATTTCCAAAATTCTGCAAATGGAAAACAGAATTTATAATATTCTCAAAGTTAATAAGTTTCAACTGTGAAAATAAAGTAATTATTATCTGGAATAGGGATAATTATACATTTCACACAAAAAAAACTAAATTTTTATGCTTTAGATTTCTTTAACTCTTATCGTGTCAAGTCAATGTCAAAGTACATGGGGCTGGGGCTGTGCCTAGGGCTGTGCCTAGGGCTGGCAGGATAAAGGTTACAGTAACACTGATCTTGTTTGATTATAGGTCTTATGCGATGTACCGTAAAATGCTTTATTTTCGCTTGGAACTAATTTTCACTGAAGGAATGATCCAGTGAAAATAAAAACCAGCGAATATACTTTTTTTCCTATATTTTACATTCAACTCGTCAAAAATCAGTGAAAATAAATTCCATACGAAACACGAAAAATTTCTTTTCAGCGAAAATTTATTTCAGCTAAAATAAAGTATTTTACAGTATACAATGTATCTAAAATACATTGTTTATTTACATGAAATTGAAATGCATGATGCCAGATGTGCTTTAAAGAAATCCATCAGTCATATTTTTACATGTTCATGGCTTTATAGTGAATACATCATTATAACAATCTATTTGTATGTCCTACAAAAAGTTTGTTACAACAAGTAGTGTAGTCAGATATTTCCTTCACAAACTCAATCAGTCTAAGAAAATTTTTTGCCTTGAAAGTGAGTATTTCCAGAAAACCAAAGTTCATGCCCGGCATCTTATTATTAGTTATAATTAAATATCATAATTAATTTATAATAATTAATTAGTTTTTAACTTAATGTAAATTTTAGAATAAAAATAAAAAGTCACCTGTGTGTGTCAAGTTTAGAAAAAAATCTGAACAGACAAGTGTCACACTTTTTCCCTTTTTTGGCCTTACATGCACAATTTTGCAATCTTGTACACTCACCCTAGATTGAATTAGCCTAGTAAAATCTGACCCTCACCCTGAATTTAAATGATCTGCCACTTACTTGTATCCATGATTCTGTAGTCTCCATCTCATTGATGACGAGACTTCTGTTGCAAACACCTCAGTAAAATGTTTTTCTATTTGCTTTGTTACTAATCCATCACCAGCGCCAAGATCTAAAAGTTTATTTGT